TATGGCGAGCCCTGAAACACTCGGTCTGACAATAACCCAAAGAATAATCTACCGAGGACGGTCATGACGCACACGACATCCAGGGTTACCTTACCGCACCAAGAATTAACATGGCACGACAACATTATCCGGAAACTACAGACTGCATGGAATCGTTACCAACCATGGCAAGAGAATAGACTGCCGCTACACGAACGCGAATTAGCTACCATTATATGGCTTGCTCCCCACAAACCAACAGTCACCCCTCGGTCTGACAATTACAACTACGGGGACGCATAACCGTAGTCACACGGAGCTTTCACTAATCTCTTACCCGGTGCACGATACACTGGGTTAGAGAACACAAAACTACCCAAACGGTCCCTCGCTTGCCCGGCTACCAATGGCTTAACAGGAACTTCTCCAGTACCAATCTGAGGGCCAACCACCTGCCCCAACTTTACCGCTTGGGTCTTGAGGCTAGAATGAGAAGATTCGGAGCAATCAAACCCGTCCAACTCTGTGTCAACCAACACCTGGGAATCCGTGCCGTGCGGATCAATCGCGATTTGACCCGCCACGTTCCCCGGACCACCAGCCCCATCAACCACCTCTGCGTCTACACCATCAGCCCCATCTCCCAACCAGGAGACTGGCGCACTCGCACCCTCGTAGACTTTCAGGTTATCTACGGCCACCGCCTTAACCACACTATCTGGAGAAGCTTGAATCCACCGAACGTTACCCTTCCCACGCAACACTAAAAAGGGGCCCGCCACGGCAGTCTCAACTTAACATCCGCAGGAGGGTAGAAATACCAAACCCATTCTCCGAGGGCAAACGTAGAAGTACGAACTTTGAGATCGTAACCTCTCTTCTGACGCTGCGCCGCCCGACCTAGCTGCGCTCGCGCATAGACATGCGCCTCCCGAGTCGCACGCTTGATCCACTCCACAAATTCTACAGGGCAAATCTCATCAGCCGAACCTGGAGGAGGATCGAACATTAAATCCACGGGCATCCCCACCTCCCGGCCAAACATCATAAGGTTAGGGCTTACCCCGATACTCTCCTGCGTCGTACCCCGGTACGCCTACATTACATACGGCAGAAGTGTATGCCAATCATCCCGCCGCTCGTTTACAACCTTACTCAACATATCTTGCAGAGTACGATTAAACCTCTCAACCAAACCATCTGACTGAGGATGATACGGCGTAGTACGAGTCTTCTCTATGCCCAACAACGAACACACCCCAGCAAAGAGATTTGACTCAAAATTTCTGCCCTGGTCAGAGTGCAGCTGTCCCGGCACTCCAACCCAAAGGAAAACTTCGGTCACCAGACAATCCGCCGTCGTCTGGGCCATCATATCTGGCAAAGCAAACGCCTCCGTCCACTTAGTGAAATAATCGCAAGCTACAAGGATATATTTTATACCATTCGACGTCTCAGGAAGTGGACCCATAAAGTCAACGGCCACCCTCTCCCACGGTGCCGCTGCGATCTGTTGACAGAGGGGAGCATTCCTCCGATGCCCCGCCTTCCTTCTGCTACACAAATCACACCTAGGAACCCACCTCAAAACATCCTGCCGAATACCTGGCCAAGCAAAACGCTGCCGGATTCTGGCCAAACTTTTAGTGACACCAAGATGTCCACGAACCCGACCGCCATGCAAAATCTTAAATAACTCCCAACGCATAACTGCCGGAACCACCATACACAAGACTGAAAAGCTCGGCTGACAGTCTAAAACCTGCCGAAGGTACAGAACCCCCTCATGTACCTCCAGATCGTCCCAGAGTGCCCAATACGCTTTGCCCCCTGGGGACGAAGACGACAAATCCGTGACAGCTGGACGAACCCCACCTGCTGCCACCCCCTTTAAAACAGCAGCAATGGCCGCATCTGCTAGCTACCACTCACGAATCTGCTGAGTAGACCACCGTGACAAAACATCATCTAACTTTGCTTCTGACTTATCCGCCGAATCAGAAAGATCATGCTCTCCCACCAAGCAATCAGGCCTCACTACCCCCGACCCAACGGATACCCCATCTACCGATGGATTGACCACCGAGCTTGTATTAACCGCCCGCCCCGAGACCACTGACGGGGAATCGCGACATATCTTACCACCCACTGGGCACACCTTAGGAAGACGACAATCGAGGCAATCCTTCCTCTTACACTTCCTACACCCAGGCTGACGCGACAAGCCGTCCGCACTGCCATGTAGCTTGCCGCACGGTGCTCGATCCTCATATCGAACGTGTCCAGGAAAGCAATCCACCTCGCCACTATTCCATCAGGCTCCTTGAAATTCAACAACCAGGTCAAGGAAGCATGATCGGTCCTGCACAAAAATGGCTGACCCTACAGATAATGTCGGAATTGCTTCACGAAAGTTACAACAGCAAGTAGCTCACGATTGGTCGTACAATACCGTCTCTGAGCCTGAGCCACAGAGAAGTCCTTACTACCATAAGCAATCACCCCCTCTACCCCACTCTTCACCTGCGACAGGACACAACCCATACCAGTCGCACTCGTATTAGTATCTAAGAAAAACTCCACCCCCGAACGCGGGTATGCCAACACCAGCGCCGACGTGAGCAATACCTTCAAACTACTGAACGCCTCCTCGCAAGACCCACCCCACTGGAAAGGTACGCTCTTCTTCGTCAGCTGCACTAGAGGATCCGCCAGGGCTGCAAAACCAGAGATAAATCGCCGATAGTAATTAGCAAACCCTAGAAAGCTTCGTACATCACCAACGCTGCCAGGCCGACCCCAAGACTGGACCGCCTCAAGCTTCGCAGGGTCACAACGAATTCCATTACCGGAGACGACGTGACCAAGAAAAGCAGCACTCCTTTGAAAGAGCGTACATTTCGTGGGCTTCAGCTTTATGCCGGCATCTGCAATACGACAAAAAACATCACGGAGGTTGCCAAGAGCTTCATCAAAGGTTTTACCAAAAATGATGATATCATCAAGGTATACAAGACACTCCATCCACAGTAAGCCCCGCAACACACACTCCATAAACCTCTGAAAGGTCATTACACAAACCGAAAGCCATTACGGAAAGTTATAAATGACCTCTCCTAGTCCCAAACGCAGTGTGATCATTTCTACAACTTGCTTTTTTCCAGGGCATCGGTTTTCAATTACACTCCGAAAGAGCGCTGCGCAAAGAAATGAAGAATGAGATGATAAGGATTAAAGCCAAACATTGTAAATTGGAATAATTCTCGACGACGTCAAGCCATCGTTTCCATGATGTCACACGAGGTGATCATGGGGGAGGGGTGTGTTATGGGGGGGTGGAGCATTGGTGAGGGGAAAGGAGGAGGAGGAAGTAGGGAAAGGAGGTGGGTGAATAAGGAGGAACGTGGGCAGAGGGAGTGAAGGAGAGAGAGAGAGACACACACAAATTTATTCTGTGTGCAGGGGG